CCGCCGCCGCCGCTACCGCCGCCTTCTTCCCCTGCCCGCGCCCTCCCGCGCCTGGAGGGCATCAAGGCAAGGCCGCGGCCGGGGATGGTGGGGGCCCGGGGGTGGTGGGAGTGGGCGCTGAACCGCGCTGAAGCGCTGCTCTCCCCGCAGGTGGGTCACACGCAGCGGGTGGAGCTGGTGCCCGGCAGGGCCCACGCCGTGCGCACCCTCAGCCTCAAGCCGCTTCTCTTCGGTGAGTATCGCCACCCGCCCCGGCCTCCTCCCCGGGGAACGCTCCGAGCCTCCCCCGCGGCTGGGCCCTCAGCCGGAGCCGTGCCACCGTGGGTGCCGGCAGCCAGGGCCGAGGGGGGGTTTCGCCTCCCGCCCGCCCTGCCCCCGACGGCGGGAGGGCAGCGTCTGACAGCGGGTGGGGGTGTCTGTCTCACACCCGCCGCTCTCTTAAACACCCACTCGGGGGAAAATTACTTCTTCTCCCGCGTTGGCGTCTCCTCCCTGTGCCGCTTTCCCTCGGGGCTGCCTTAAAAAGAGCGTGATTTTGTTTAAGGTATTTTGATACAGTATCCACAGAGGTTACTTGTTCTGGGTGGGCTGTTTAGGAGAATTTCGAAGATTAACCTTTCCCAGGTTTTTCAGATTCTTGTTTTTTTAAAAAATACCCTGATTAGACAGCAGATCACCGAAGAGGACCTCGAAGAAGCTGCTCAATATTAGGAAGGGACAAGAGATGCCCAAATTTTTGGTAATAAATGATGATAAAGCAATTTAGTGTTGGTGCTTCAGTGCTGAAGAAATGGATAACAGAATTTATAGACTTAATGTCTTCCACCATTTTGCATCCTGTTCTAGATTTATCTTTATTTTCTGGCTGCTCTGCTACACAACATCCATCTTTCAGATATTTTGAATGCTTCTTTACCTTTCTGTGATTTTTGCTGTGACTGGTGAAGTCTCGTTAATTGAACTCTGTGTTCTGGAAATCCACTGAGAATATACAAATTAATTTTTTGGGACACATGGTTACAAAATTCCTACTACTGCAAAGTCATAGAAAACTTGTTCTCTCTCAGAAGATAGTACTGAGACCCTTCATTAGATGCTTTCTCAATAATATATAAAGTTTTTTTCCCGATTCCAAGTAGATTATATGTACTGAAAGTCTACCCATAAATCACACAGGTTTCTTATTAAACTCCTTCAGTGCAAAAAGTATCTGGAAGAAATATACAAAGGTCTCCTGTCATTTCTACATATGTGGTACTCCTGGTTTGCAAATTTCAAAGTGGATTTCTGTCTGACCTTCAGTAAACAGACAGAGCAACCTGGAACTGATATCCTGCAGCATTGACAAAACTGACATCATTACCAGAACCACGGTCTGGGGCAATTGCTCTGCTTTTCACTCGGGAAAACTCATCTTTCCACCTTCTCTGCCCTGCTGGTACTGCTTAAGTAAAAGGCCTGCAAGGAAGGTGCTGAAGTTGAGAAAAGGCAGGTTGGTCCCGACAGCACTAATCCCGCAACTTTTAGCTTATCGCTCCGGCACCTCCGTGGTTTCTGAGGGAAGCTTTGCTCCCTGAGGATGTTATCATGGACAGGGATGGACATTCATCATTTGAGATGCCACGCGAGTCTCTTCTCCTTTGTCCTCTGATAGGGGGTCCCTTATTTAGAAACTGCAAGTCGCAAGACGGTTCTTATCTCCGGAATGAACCTGCCAGGAGCCAGCTCTGACTTTAAAAGACTTCCAGAGGCTCCTCTATCTATGCAAACAATACCAATCTAAACTGTTTTTTAAAAAAAAAAAAAAAACTAATTTTTTCCATGTCTGTCGTTTAAATTAGTGGAAGTGTGTATTAACTTGGTTGTGTTACAAACCCAGAAGTTGCTAGCAAAGGACTCTTGAATTTCTGGGGATTTTACTGCACACAGTCTTGCGGCATGCAAGAGCCAATTTAAGGAAATAAGTGGTTGGTCTCTGATCTTTGCTTTCAGCAGAGCAGGCTGTAGTGGGACCACAGCAGCAGACGGCTCGTTAATGACTTAATGTAAGCTCTGTGCTTTGGAGCATGGCACTGGGCACCATAGGGGAACTTGCGGTTTGTTTTTTAAATGTGGGTAAGTCATCTGCATTGGACCCAAGCGTATTTCATGGAGCTCTGAAAAAGTCCCTGCCCTATTTTTTTCCCCCTCTGGCTACAAAACGTCATTTCTAAAGCTTGTAAGTCAGACCATCTGTGCACTTTTTAGTTAGGAAACACTTGTAATCAAATAATCCTATTAATGGAAAACAAATATCAGACAAAGCCTTTTCAACCTTCAGAGCTTTTATGTGTTCTGTTGTATTTTCCAAACGCAGTCTGTTCAGAAGATACTGCTATTGCAGGGACCACCTGGCAGCGGATTCTGTGGATTGGGCAGCAGTTTGTAAGACGAGGCAGCAGGGAGGAATAAAAATAGGAAATCTCGCTGTGTTTTTCTTCTGAGCCTCGGGGAATAGAAGTAATCACTGCACAAATGTCAGGGCGCAGCTGAATTTCAGTGTGAGTGTCTGAGCGCTCGTCTCAGCCCACGCTAAATCTGAAGAGGAGGTCTCATCATGGGTTGTTGGTGTGCTTTACGAGCACAGGGAGGCAATGTGTCTCCGTCAAACCCGGTGGCTCTCTCCACAACCAAGACCGCAGGCGTCATGAACGAGGCTGAGCGTGTTTCTCCCCAAAGCTGTTTTTCCCCTTACTTGAATCCCAAATTGAATCCACTGTAGGAAATTTTTCCACAGACAGCGCTTTGTTAGGTAGTAGAGATCTGATTTCTTTTCTCGTGTGGGGATTTGCTGGTTTCTGCTCTGGGGTCTGGAGGGTAGAGCTATAGCTGTGTTTACCCCAGCAGGAACTACGGTCCCTGCTTCCTTGGGTTGAGAGAGTGAGCTGCAGAGAGTGAGTTTTGCCACCTATTCTCTCTTCCCTGTGTGCAGGGGGAAGGTCAAGGCAGATGTGTAACATTTCTTACCCTCCATCTCAGACCTGCAGGTATCTTCTCCTGTGCTGTGGTTGGGGCTCACCTCTGCATCCCAAGCAAAGCTGTTGTTGTACCCCAAAGCAGAGCTTTAACCAGCTGGTGTCCCACTCCTGCTCTGCTCTTTCTCAAGGCTCTTGTGCTATCTTCGGTAGTTCCCCAGTTACCAGAATCTTCTGATCCAAACTGAATTTCTTATGTTAAAAAATGGTTTTCCCTGTTAAGCCGAAACCCTCAGCTATCTTTGTGCCTCTCCTGCTTGGAATGGCTGTTTCCTTTTACCTTGCAGATGCTCGTCAATTCTCAGCACAGAAAGCTGAAGGGACAGCCTGAGTGACTGCTCAAGACCAGAGTTTAACATTCATTTTTTAAGGGATTGGGCATTCCTGGGTGGGTTTCTGTCCCTCTTAATTTGCCTCAGACTGTTCAAAAGTAAAGTATTTGCTCCATATATAAAAAAGCATGTTGGCACTCGGGGAGACTTTCACGTAATCTCTCTGGACAGAAAGCAAGCAGACAGTTGAACAGCGTCAATGTCTCAGGAACAAATAATGAAGCTGAAAGGGCTATCAGCTCTGATGATGAGAGCTGGAAGGTGCTGTTATGACAGGTCCCTTCCAGCTTGTGCTCACCTGCAGAGTTCCGTTCAGTTTTGTTGTGATGTTGGATCTGACACAAAGCTGTCTATCGCCAAGTCCTGGATCTGCAGAGCCTTGCAAGAGGAATATGTTACATTTGCATCCTTAAGCTCTGTCTCAGTAAAACAGGGGTCTGTGATGAGGCCCTATCTGTGGACTATGACTGCTTTGACTCACCTAAAAGTATTGACTGTACATGTCCAAGACACCAACTGCCAGGGGAAGGAGTTTTCTAGCCATGGGGAAGGGAGCAGTTTCTTATTGTTGGAACTGAGATTTTTCAGACCTTCCGGCCAGCCTGTTCAGGGCAGCGGTGATGTTTCCACCTCCGCACCGCCTGGTGCAGGTTCCTGTTCTTCTTCTGCCAGGCGTAGGCTTTGTTCACCACCACTTTGTCACTCTGAACTTCGCCGCTTACAACAAAGACCCCTGAGTGAGTCCCTCTCATGATGTTGTGGACACACGTAGCATCTATGTCCAGCCACTGCTGGAGCCTGGCAGGGATTTCGGTTCTGAGGAGAGGGCCGTGCTTCAGGACCTCCACCCTGGAGGGATCCAGGTCAAAGTCCGAGATGGTGGTGGTCGTGTTCTTCCTCAGGATCCGGATTTTCACTGCTGCAGGGGTTGGAAAAAGAGCTGTTAGTTCTGTTTACTTTCCATAGCTCTTACCTACTTAAAGACACAGCCAACGCAAGGCTTTCTTGCTGTTTCTGTAATGTGATGACACATCCATCCAAGCTCTTCTAATTGCAGTGAGTTTGTAGAAGTTCTCATTTCAGGTTAGTTTTCAGTACTGAAGGCCATTATTCTCACTCCGCTTTTCTCAGGAGAGTGGTGAAGGTGTTTCAGCAGCTCTGCAAGGGCAGAAACCCGGCAGGGGTGCAAGTGGATGCATCAAAGTCCTAGTCTCCTGCAAATTACTTGAGCTGGGATTTCAGGAGGAGACATGACTGCCAGCAGCCCAGGGGTTTTAACTTTTTTGTATCATGAAGGTTTTGTGCCTGAATTCAGGACAGTATCTGAAAACTTCCTGCCAGCTGATTGAGCAGAGCCAGTTCTGCCACCTGCTTGGGCCAGGGGAGGGGGGGAGCATTACTAGAACAATGCTCTTGAAGGGTGAGATAGCTAACATGGAGTTTGCTAACGGTTTTTATGGGCATTGATTGAAATATTGGTCTCCAAAGGAAAACCAGATAGTGCTTGTATGTAGCAGCCACAAAAGCAAATCAGAGCCCACAGAAATAAATCAGGTCTTCATCCTTGGTGCTGCCTGGAGCTGGGCCCTCCTGCTATATAGCAGGTGAGTTGGGACCTGAACATCTCCATGATCTGCTGTAAAAGTTGCAGTCCCTCCAAGTCAGTCTGTTATGCCATGCCACTTGGCTCCTGGAGGGAAGAGGAGCAACTGAGAGGAGGAGGAGGGGGATTACTCACCAAAATCGTTGGTGCAGAGGTTTTCCAGGATCTCCCTGGCAGTGCTGGCCTCCTCAAGCTCGCAATCCTTGCAGCTGGCTCGGGGCACTGCTGCAACAGAAATTTGGTTATAACACCCTTGTCAAGCTTCACTGGAAAAGGCATAATGCAATTCTGGGATCTACGAGTGGTGACTTGCTATTTCCAAGTGGTGCTTCCTCCCAAGCTACCCAGTCCCTGGAGAGACAGCTTAGGCTGCCAGAGTGGGAAATGTCAAATTCTCCCTTCTGTGGCTGGGGCAGACGCTGCTTGTCGTGCTTTGCTTAGGCTTGTGTGTGTTGCTGCATGTTAAAGCAGCAGTGAAAATGTTTAATGAAGATCTCCTCGTTTGGATGAAACAGCAAGGCCATTGGTATGGCCAGACTCCATCCAGTGATGCTGAAATATTCTCCCCTTAACTGCTCTCAAATCTCCCCCAGTGTTCATCATTGTTTGGGTGTTTAATTTAGTCTTTTAGTCTTAAAGATTTTTTCTTGTGTAACTCATGTCTGCAAGAGGCTCATGCCCCTTTGTGGTGTTTCCTAATGTTTAAAGAGAAGGCTTGCAAAACATTTCTTTTTGCATGTTTTTAAACCTTGGACAGAGCTGAAAGATGAGGGCTGCAGCTCCTTAGCTCTGCTGGAAGCACTTCTCATCGCCTGGAGCCTGCTCACCACCAGCTCTCATGCTGTGCCTGAGCATTAGGCTTTTACAGCGATTCCTCCCCCCTGCCCCAAACCCTGCCTGCCCTGATGGCACCCCGGGAGCTAATGAATACAGTAGAGAGGGGAACAAGCTGCAGCCAACGTTGCGCTAATTTTCTAGACATGGTGGAGTTCCCAGAGAGAACAAAATCAAGATTTCTAAATCATATTTATAAAGTATAACTTAAAACCAAAAGCACTAGGAGCACAAAGAAGAAATAGACCTTTTGAGCTTTCAGTGTTACATATGGGAAAACATATGAGTGGAAAAAAAAAAACCAACAACCCTTACTTCTCCTGCTTGAGGAATTTTCATCCATGGAGACTGCGGCGATGCACAGTTCATGGTCCGCAGGAAACTTGTTGCAGTTGAGGATTTCGGGCCAGGGGTAGCCGTAACAAGCCATGACCGGGGCGCAGCTTCTCTTGACGGCTTCGCAGAGGCTGCGGCAGGGGTAGATGAGCCTGGGGAGGGGAGGGGGGTTGCAGCACCTCTGGACCCCCAGCAGCAGGTGGAGGGTCCAGCCCTGGCACCATTCTGCTGCACAGGGCTGTGTTGCACACTGTAGTGCTAGCAGGGCTACTTTGGGGGCTTTAAACTCTTTTGAACATTCATGCCTGGGAAGCAAAGAGTGACTTTCTGAGGACGGGAGGGATGAGACCGTTCGATACAGGGTGCTGCCAGAAGCCCTTCCTCTTCCCAGGGATCTTCTCTAATTGTGCAATGTCTGCTTACCTTTACAGGTGCCTAATTTAGTACCTGATTTCCTAGCAGAGCTGCCCTTTGATGGCTGCACCTCAAAACTGGGGATTTCTCTCTGATGCTGGCATTGTCAGGCTGAGGAAGCCCTTGCGTAGTCGGGGCAGGAGCTGGGAAGGCAGGGGGCTGCAGGGGAGGTGGGAGGTGAAGCTGGTGGGTGCCAGCAGCTACTGCAGTGTGTGAGGGGGGTGGCCAGGGGAGAGGGCAGCGGTGCCTGGGGTGGGAGAGCAGGAAAATCCAGAGGAGGGAACATAATGTTTCTGCTTCTGTGAGATGAAATGCTCATGTTTCACTTTCAGAGGGAAGGTCCCTGCTGAGTAATCCAATTGCCCCTTGCCGAGAGGGGAACCACAGCTTTTTGGGGACCGTGGTGAGATTTCACACATTTTTCTCTCAGGAGGCAAATGCAGTTGTGCTGTTGGAGAGTGTTACTTGCTACAGCTGAAATAATTTGTAAAAACATCTTACCTGTCCAAGCAGATTGGTGCAAAGAGGGAGCAGAGGAAAATCCTAGCGTCTGGGTGGCACTCCCTGGCCAGCAAGGGCAGCCAGCTGGAAGACTGCTGGATCACTTCTGGCATGGTCTCGTGCTCCAGCAGGTTGGGAATCCTCATCTCGGAGTAGCCGATGTCGTAGCACAGGGCCATGCGGTGTGGAATGGGCATGCAGCTGGAGGATCTCCTCAGGTAGCTTGCCCAGGCTCCTGGAGAGCCCCAGAGCAGCAGGCGCGCCAGGAGACCCAGTAGCCATGGGCCACCCGACCTGGAGGGTTGCCTGCGGTGGGCTGTGACCATGCTCGGAGCAAGCTGGGAGTGGGCGAACAGTCAGCGCACCCTGGACTGAGCTGCTCCCAACTGTGGGAAGCCTTTTATAGCCTAAGAACCACCTCTCTGTCAATCCATCCTCATTAAGTGCGGCCCTTTCAGAGCCCTCATGGGGAAGACAATGCTCCAATTTTCATTTGCCAGCGGCCCCGATTGTTTGGATTTTAGCAGGGGTTTGGCTTAGATCAGCAGGTGTGGAAATGAGGGCAGTTGGGGAGGGATGAATGACTTGGCCCATGTGTCTTGGGGCTCTTTCAGCCGAGATTGAATCTCTGTTTGACACCAGTGCTTCAGCCCATCCCCTTTCTCTTGCTCCAGGATTAGTCATTATTTCATAAACCCCAATGTTTTCCTCTCTTTTGTTTTTTGTAAAAGCAATCAAGTGTTGCTCAAAGTCAATTAGGAGGCATTTGTTTAGCTGGATCTATTGTTGAGCAGGCAGAGAGATAGGATGGTCTCGCAGCCAGAAGTTAACCGTTTGGGAGAGCTGAGGGTAGAGAGGAACTAATTTGCAGCTGTGGAGCCAGGTTGTTTGCGGATGGGATTGGCGGCGCTTGGCTGGAAACCCCCTCACCTTGCAACCTGCGTGACAGCGCGCTTTCCGCTTAACAGAGTTTTTCCTTCGTTACGAAATCCCGTTACTACCGCTGAAGAGCAGGATTGTCCTTCCTCCAGCACGTAATTAAGATTCCAGAAGCCATCATTACTGTAGCCCGGTTTGGGGAACTGGAAATAGTGGGGGCGTTGCTTGCCAGTGCGCACGGGTCACTCGGACCTGGTGCCGTGCCATGAGGTTCAAACCAGCCAGCGGAAGCTCCGGCTTTGCAGCATCCTCTGGCACGAGGACCCTGCGCTGCCTGTGGCGGAAATTGTTTCCTCGGAGGGTGTTACGGATACAGCCAGCTGCATTGTGTGTCTGTGGCTTCCCAGGAACATCTCGTTTTCTCCAGAGCTAGTTCTGGTCTGTGCTTAGCAAGAAGCCAACTGCTCATTGACAGTTGGAGCTGATAGGGTTGATTTAAGGTCACGGAAGTAATTAACTTTTTTTTTCCCCCCTGCTTTGAGGATTGCTGCTATAGTAGAGATGCATTGTGTCCTTGGCACGTACCTGCAGGAGCTCTAGGGATCTGTGATTTGGAGAGCAGGACCTTTGGCCTAAGAGCACTTAAACCTGTCCTGCTTTGGTGGTTTTTCTTTCCCTTTACGAAAGTCTCAGCAGCTGGTTACAAGATCCCCACAGCAGTGACAGACATCAGCCAGAAGGATCTGCTCAACCTGCTGGGCCATGGTGTAACTGTGCTGTGGAACAGGACCTCACCAGCACTTTGCAAGTGTGTGACCAGTGCACCAAGGAGATGAAAATCTCTTAGCCTCGTAGTCATCAATGGATTTCTCTGCATTTAAATTTGCTTGGGATCCTGATGTTGCCTGGTTGCTGCTGGTCTCCTGCTGCGAAGGGAAGTTGGTGATATGCTACCTAGATATGGAGTGTGGCATCCTCCACATGCAGTGTCTTCCCCTTTAATATGGCATTTGAAGAGCATTTTTAGTGGGGGATAAAGGAAATGAGTGGGAATAAGCTTGGAAGTTGTCTCCTTGCTGTTTGAGTTTCGTAGCAGAGCACTGTGTCAGGTTCCTCTGAAAGGTGTTTGTTCTTGTGCAAAGTGCCGTCCTCCCACGTGAGAGCCAGGAAGGCTGAAACCCTGGCCATCACCACTGCCCACCTTAAAGGTTTCGGCCTCCCTTCCTGTAGAGCAGCAGTTCCCAGACTGTGATCCACATGTCACCTTTGAAGTGATAATATGTGGTGATACGCACGTGTTTGTTCACTCCTTTGTCCATTGTGGTATCTGCCACAGAGTTTAAGGGCTTGACCCCTGGATCCAAACATTTAGGAACTGCTGCTGTAAAAATACCTGCTTCCAGCAGCTCAGGTGTGTGGTGTATGCTCTATGAGAGTTCTTCTTTTAGAAGGGTGGATGTGTTTGAATGTCCCAAACTTAGGCAGAGTCTAAATTTCCCCCCAACTCTTTTTTTTTTTTTTTTTTTTTTTCCAAGTGGGCTGCCATCGGTATGGGGTCCCACTGTAACAGTTCCTCAGTCTCTGTTGCTGCTCACACTTTTGCTGCAGAAATTCCCAACTTCCTGACAGAGGAAGAGTGCAAGCTCATCGTCCATCTGGCACAGCTGAAGGGGCTGCAGAAGAGCCAGATCCTACCAACAGATGACTATGAGGAAGCCATGGAAATGATAGAAATCAGCCAGATGGACATTTTCAATCTGCTGGACCACAATCAGGATGGGCAGCTGCAGCTCAAAGAGGTAGAGTGTGGGACAGACTGGGGGAGGTTTGCTGGGGGACGCTCTGGCAGTTCTCAGATGATCTCCTGATTACTCATGTGCTTGGGTAGGGCCAGACTCCAGTATATACCAATCAGTATTTGCTTAATTTTATGTCTCAAGACTTATATTGACCTTCAGCATGGAAGTTTCTGGGGAAATGTGCAGCAATTGCCATGCTATTGGGAGGCAGCAACAGTCCTTGGCAGGAGTTGAGAGTTTTGAATATGCTGGGTGAAATGTTCTTTGTGCTGTGGGTTTCCTCTTGCTGGGTGTCCTGGGGAAGTGAGTTTGTAGCGTGGGTGCTGCTTGGTGACCGCGCTCAACTGGCCAGACATCAGCAAAGCCACCCCTATTAATGACCCTGGAGGGGATAATGAGCACCTTGTCCACAGCTCTTCAGCACCCTCGCCCTGTATGGCAGGGTGCACAGGGCAAGAGCTGGCAGTTCAAGGATGTCCCTTCCCAGGGTCCCGTTTCAGGTGGGACTGGGGGTGTGTAGTGTCCCATGGTCAGCAAGCGTTGTGGAGTATGGAGAACTGTGCCAGGGACAACCCACGGCCACGATCCTTTCTCTGGAGGTCAGAGCCTGCTGAGAGCTCTCCAGGATACGCCTTCTCTCTGTCCACATAGAAAGGAAGCATTTTGTTCCAAACCTTTATCTTGGACAAGTAAAAGCATTCACTTTTATCCTCACTAGCTTTACTTTCCCTTCAAGAGAAAGAGCTGTGCCCCCTCCGCCTCAGGACTGGTTAACCAAGTCCCAGCAGTCGTTTGCTGTGACCTAAACTGGAAATAACAGCGTGCATCAGCCACACGCTGTGTGTGGCTGCCAGATGATTCCCACTCCAGTCTTCTTTCTGCAGAGACATGCTGACGCCTGGCTGGCCGATGCTCTGCAGAGGAGAGCCCGCCAGGCCTCAAGCAGGCAATCTGTGGGGTTTCCTCAGTACGAGAAACCAGTGCCCGGTGTTGATCTGTTTCTGAATTTCAGGTGTTGACCCACACCCGGCTTGGGAATGGCAGGTGGATGACCCCCGAGAACATCCGGGAGATGTACACTGCAGTCAAGGCCGATCCTGATGGGAATGGTAAGAGCAGCTCCATGGGAATCCATCCCTTCACCCTCAGCACAGTGGACTCCTTGCCCAGCCACGTGGGGCAGAGCAAGAGCCAGGTCCCGGGCCAGGCCTGTTTCTCTGGCTGTTCTTCAAAGGAAAATAATGCTGCTTTAGAGACCTTCACAGAAAAGTACAATCAGTGTAAACCTCTCATCACAGCACTCCTGTCCCTTCATCACCAGCCCAGCAGCACACTAGTTCCACTGTCTGGGCTCAGATCTTGCAGAAGCAGCACCGGAACGCGACTCTACGCTCCCTCTCCCCTGACAGACCTGCCTTAGTTTGTGCCCCCATTTAACAGGATTTTCAGGGTGCATTTCTGCTCCTGTGGTCTGAGAGATGGCTCTGACTCTGACTGTGTAGCTCTTGTTACCTGGGCTGCAGGTTTTAAGGTGCACCCCCTCGTTTTCAGGGAGAGTTCTGCAGCACTGGCAGGGGAGGGAGGAACAAGCGGAGGTGAGGGTGGTCTTGGTGGTCAGCCTTTGTTGCTGACCCCTCTCTCTGCTGCTACAAACTCTCTGTATTCCATGAGGTCACTTCTGCCCTTCCTGGCTCTGGTCTCCCAAGGGCTCCTGCTGGTCTGGACATGCACTCTAACCTCTGCTGCTCTAATTAGAATGCCCTCAATTAAGCAACTTTCCATTTCCTAATCAAATTAAGTGAACGCACAGGCTCTGCACGCTCTTCCAGTGACCTGGCGTTGAGAGCTGCCCAGGAGGAGCTGGTTTGGAGTTGAAGCAGTATCCTTGTGAATGCCTAAATATCCGGAGGGCACCCCGTGCCCGGCTCCTCCGGGCTGGTGGCGTCCTTGGCAGGGGTAGGAGCGTATGACCGAGTCCTCAGTGGCTTTTCCACTGTTCTGGACATGAACAAATGAAAGGTCTTGTTAAAGTGCTCTTGGCAGGACCTTGCTTCCAGAGAGTCGCTTCCCCTCGTTGTTAGATTGGTACGTGACACCGAGAGACCAGGTCACAACCTGGATGTGACACTGCATCATCAAAGACCAAGTGGAGTAGGGGGAAGTGGGGACAGGGAGACATGGGAAGTAATAATGGTCTGGATAATTTGGTCACGACCACTGGCACCTGAGGAACTGTCCCAGGCCGACCCTGGTGGCTGGCCCTTCCTCCTGCTGGAGGGTGCTGTGTGCCTGGGGAGCAGAGGTGGCACCACCGCAGTGCTGGGTTCGCTGCCTGAGTGAGCTCCACTCGCAGCCCACAGCGGCTTGTGGCTGCCAGGCAGCACACTGCAGTGCTCTGCACGCTCTGGTCCTGGGGACCTGATCCTCAGTCCACACCTTCCTTCTTCTCCAGGAAGGTGAAACAGCAAATGTGAGGATTTTTCTGAAGCCAACAAAGGCAAAAGTCCATCTCTCGGAGTCCAGTTGAGTGCAAACAAGAAATACCAGTTTTAGTAGAAACCATTGTTACCTATCACTTTTCTGTTATTTCTACTTACGCAAGATCATTCTCTGTTGTATTTCTCGATCATGTTTTACAATTGCACAAATGCAGAAGAATGTACCACTTGTTTTGGGTTTGGCTTTTTTAACTTACCATGTGAGGTCTTGTAGAAAATGGGGTCTGAGGTGTCCCACTGTGCTCCTAAACATGTCTATTTAAATATCTAAGAAACAAGCCCCAAGGCATCAGGTGGCACAAACTTTTTAGCTGCGGCATTGCATATGTTCAGACTGTAGTGACTACTTCTCCCTTTTGATGGATTGGTCTGTGTGTTTAGAAGCTTTTCAAAGTTCAAAATGGTATTTTGCCTGTCCCAGTTCTGACCTTGTGCAGCAGCTAATGGTTCCCTTTTGCAGGTTGCTCTCTGCCCTCTGCTCTGCTAAGGGCAAGAATGTCCCAGTGACCTGTAATCCTGTGCATGTTGGGGGGCAGCCCATGGTGGGCCCTGAATGGGATTTGTTTGGGGAAGGCAGTTTCTGCAGTGCCCTCAGCTGGTGGTTTCTCCGAGTACAGGACACCAAGAAGTATTACCTGCACCAGGGTCAGCTGGCTTTTCTTCTCTTCCCGTAGGTGTGCTGAGTTTGGAGGAATTCAAACAACTGAACATCCGTGATTTCCACAAGTACATGGGAAGCCAGAAAGTGAAGATGAGTGACTTGGTGCGCAACAGCCAGCACACCTGGCTCTACCAGGGTGAGGGGGCACACCAGGTGATGAGAGCCATACGGCAAAGGTACGGGCCAGGCAGCCGGGCAGTTGGGTTTGTGTAGCACGAGGACCACCTGTGCCGGGAGAGGCGGTGGCAGACGTGCTGATATTCACACTTCCTAATTGTATGAAAGTCTTTGGAGTATAAAGGGCAATGAACACAGACATGGAATGGGGAGAGGAGGTTTTCATTAGAACAAGAATTTGTATTGTCCCATGGAAAAGGAAAAAGAAAAATCAAACCTTTCAGCATCTCCATTCACTTTTGGGAACAGCCCTATAAAACCAAGAAGACTTGGCATTATATGAAATAATTCATTCTAATTAGTAAATGAGCTTACTGGGAGAAACTGCCCGTTTCCAATGCTGTCTGGGTGCCAGTAGTTACTGTCATTTGCTTTAGTTACTCATGCATTTCACTGAAATCTGTCTTAGCTGTTCAGAGCTGACTTTTTAACAAGCACGACTTCATCTCAAGTAAGCTGAGTTACTTTGATGCTCTGAGCCCATGTATCTCAGGGCAGCTCACGGCAGATGGGAGAACCTCTTACCTTTCCCTTTATCTCAGATTTGGTACTGGGAAGCGTGGAAACCCAGCACGTAGGCCAAATCGTTTAGCTGTGGTGAGTTTCAGATAATTGGCTGGAGATTTTCTTGTTCTTGTGGTGCTGGTCCTCGCCCAGGACATGGGTGGGTAAAATCTATCCTCAGGCTTGAAAATGGCTGTTGGCTGCTCCTTCAGTGCATTCCAGTGGGAGAATGGGGTCACATATTGCCTTGATTAGAGCAGACTGTGGCTGCCACTTTCTCCGTGCCAGCTAGCCAGCACACACAGGCATGGGCATACAGCTTTCACACTCTTCAGTTGGCCGCTGTTACAAGGACATGAAGATGTAACACTGAAGGAGGCTGTTAACAATCCTCCCTGGGACCATGTGGTGCCTGGGGGGGGCTTTGCTGTCCTGTCTGGGGGCCATGTTCCCCTCGCGCCTGCCTGGAGGGCTTCACCGGTCCACATTCTCAGAGCTCTGAGTGTTCTTTGGCAGGTCTCAAGAGGTACCTGCTTGCCTTGGGGATGATCTCAGATGTAGCAGCGGAAAAATCCCAGAGCAGGAGGGCTCCGGTCTCCTTGATCACTTCCTGTGCCCCTCTGCCCTGGGGGGAGGCTGCTGAAAAGGCAACAGGGAAAGGTGAGTTAGGTGACAAGAATATTCCTAGAGCTAGTCTCTCGTTCACTCTCAGCAGGGGCCCTGTGCTTTCCTAACTGTCCCCGAGCTCTGTAGATGGTGTGCAGGAGTCCAGAGAAGCGATGACATGGCATGTGAAGGCTCCAGGGACACACACAGAAGGGATCTTG